TGCTATACACATCTTATAATATTGATTTTTTCTTGTCTATGTAAGGTTGTTTTAGTCATGACTACACTTTATCAAATATCTAGTCATTTTACTATAGGAAGGGAAATATGATTTTACCATAAATAGGTTAATTGTGTTCTAAATTAGGCTACTTCAGTTTCCATACTTCACCATTCTAAGCTGGACCAATATAGGAAAAGACCGACCTTTTGTTTCGACTGTTTATACTTTCAAGTAGTCTACTATTTGATTTTGTTTCTTGATTTCTTTTAATCAAGCTAATAGTGTCGCACCAGTTGTTCGCCAACTATTGGTCACGTGAAACCTCTTCACGCAGCAAAAAAAAAAATTGCCGTACAAAAACTCTTTAAGAATGTCAAATTTAATATCGATTATCATAAAATATTTTATTGGGTGAAATAACCACATGCTTCCTTACTAGGCGATTTGTATTATTCTTAATTTCGCGTATTTGTGATTGGTATGGTGGTTTTTGTAGAAGATCAAGTTCAAATGTGTGTGCAGAAGCCGTGCAGTTATAACTGGCCTTCATTTGATTTTTCCTTTTCTCTTATAAAACTCGTGTTCACGTTTTATTTTTGGTTTACCGTTTTATTGAGGAGACGACATCGTTTTGCAGTGCTTGTGATAAACTACGAATGCGACGTCGTTTTGCTACTATGCATGTAAATAAAAGGCCGAACTTTGTATTCTCTGCACATATGAAATGAAACATTTTCGATCTTCGATATTTTAGCTCTGAGTTTTTACATGGTATCAGAGCCAAAATCGGCCATTGAAGCTCGATCTCATCTCCCATGGCGAACAATCGATACAATGAGGCCTGGCCGTTGCTGAATGCACGAGCAGTAAGTAATACTGAAGATCGAGAAGAGGATCCTTTCTTCTTAAACTCGTCTGATAACCCAGGTTTGCAGCTTGTTTCTCATCCACTTAATGGATCTAATTACTTGGCTTGGAAGCGGTCGATGATGATTGCGCTTGGTGCAAAAACAAAGCTAGGCTTTGTTAATGGTACAATTGAAGTGCCAGCTGAGAATGATGTTAATTACGTAAAATGGAAAAAGGTGGATTGGATGGTGATTTCGTGGATTTTGAACTGTTTATCGAAGGATATTGCTGAAAGCTTTGTATATGCTGAAACCGCAAAGGAATTATGGGATGAAATAGGTCAACAGTTCGGAGAAAGCAATGGACCACTAATTTTTCAGCTGCAGAGAGATATTGCAAATCATAAGCAGGGCCATGAGCCTGTTATGGTGTATTTTAACAAATTGAAAAGAATGTGGGATGAATTAGGAAGCTTGGTGCCTCAGTTGGTCTGCAAATGTGATATTGGGAAGGCAATGGTGGAGCAGCACATGCAAGGGAAGCTGAT